CCTCACTGGTGGACACCATTGCCGTCGGCGGGATGGCGTTCTTTGGGATTCCCCATGGTCCGAGGCTTTGCCTACATGGACCCTTTTTCAACCACCCCAGCGGTAAATGTGCTTGGAGTGATATGAGTTTGATATGAGTTGTATAACATGAAGTGTTTCCACACGCTTGGAAGGTCTTTTTCTCAACCCACGACCCGTGCCAACGTCATCCTCCGACCTCGGGGGGGCCATGGGGTCCGGCCATGCCATCCACGTCACCATGGGGGCTTCCAGGGAGTTGGTTTTTTTTGGTGGGTTAACAACCAAAACACCAGCATAGACCTGGAAATCAAAAAGACCAACCGCTTCGCTCTCGGGCATCCAGGTCTACCGTTTGAAAGCCTTGAAAGGGTGAACGGTCCATGCCATAGACCTGGAAAAAGCCATTTCAAAGACGCTTCGTTTTGGACCGTTCGTCAGCACCTTTGTGCCTCGCTTGGTGTCTTTCGGGAAACGGGGCGTCGTCCGTTTGGGCCGGACCAACGGTGGGGACCGTTCCGCCGTCGCGTGCGGTGGCCCAGGTTGGCACAAGCTTCCAATGAGACTGAACACCACCGCCGCAGCTGGGACGTGAGTCGTCTCTAAGTCATTGCTTTTTCGTGATGGTTTCGGAGATTGGAACCCTTACCTATATTATAGTCAGTGATGGTTTCTAGTCATATTTTTATGTTCAACCCTTACTTGGGGATGATTGGACCCTTTGATGCTGATTGGAAAGGCATTTAAAAGGATGACACACTTATGACGCTGCATCTAACCTCCATGGTGATGTGTTTCTGGTGTTTTTGGATGGCCAGGGGTCTAATATGTTGAGGATCTATCTTCAGGGTCTGAAAACACATGCGGACAGTAGGATGGATCCTCGGGCGGCTCGCGACGGCGGTCCGAATGGACTGCCAAATGGTGTCACTTGTATGACGTTCTCCCCATGCTGCCCCATGCGCAGCACATCCTAAACCTCCGTGAAAGAGAACCACTCCCTGTTGGGAGGAAGCCCAAAACTTTTTTAGGTTGTGGGTCTATGTCGAGACGCTATAGGAACTGGATTTCAGTAAATGCTCACACTCACTACACCAAGTCGGGTGTGGAGAACCTTCCTAGTTGGGTTACTGCAGCGGCCGCAGCTGGTCCTCCACACCCGTTCATGTGTTTGGTCCAGTTCTTTCTATGTTTCAAACGTGGGACGACTGACTGGCCCTACGGCTCCAAGCAAGTACCTTCTAAGAAGTTGGGACTGGGGGCCCGGGTGCCAGGAGGGTCCAGTCATACCGAACCTGAGGAGGTACGACTGGAGCCCAAACGGGTGGGTGAGGCTTGGACGCCCACAAGAAGACGCGAATGTGCAAGTTCTTCCTCATGGGTACTTGCACCCGCGGGCGTTCCTGCAACTTCGCACATGGTGGCCTGGCTGAGGACACGGGGGAAGCCTGCTTTTGGAAACATGAGATGAAAGACTGTCTTTATATATACACATATATGTATATATATATATATAAGTATGTTCAGATCGCTATTAGGTTGGAGGCCATCGCTACTAGGGTCGAGGCCATTACCTACTATAGTAGCAAGAAGCTACTAGATTGTCAAGATGTTCAGGCAGTGTTTGTGACTTTCGGGCTACGGGTTAGTCGTCTTTGGAACTGGTCCCCTGCCTGGAGTTAAAATTCTCAAAGTCCTCAGAAAAACGGATAGAACAGTAATTACCCGTTTTTGACAGGATCACGTGAGTCATGCATGTCCCTTTTTCCGCAGTACTCTCTGAGGGATCCAGCTGTTTTCACTCGTGCTGTGCCAAGCATCTACTCTTTCAAACACGCCCTCCCACCGGGAAGCCCGACTGCCTGGTTACCAACGTGGAGGGGACCGCGACCCCGGGGACGAGGTGCAAGTCAGCTTCGTGAACAGCCAGACTTCAGCAAGACGCGGCTGTGTGCCAAATATATGGAGTCAGGCGGCCGAAGAAAAATGGGACACGCGACAAACGCGGCAAACGGTCTGGGAATGGGAAGGTGGTGTGTTTCAGTATGTATGTCATGACATCCGAACGAACTGCACTGCGTACTCAAATCCTAAAGACCTGTTTTGGGGTAATATGAGCCAGTCTTGAGAGATCTTTTGGGTAATATGCATCGCCCACCTTGCACTGGTAACCCATCCCTGTGCTATCCGTAGCTGGGTCACCAGGTCGCCATGGGAGCCCCAGCTTCCCATCAAACCTCGTCCACTCCAAGACCTACCTGGACCTTCAGGACCTGGAGTGTCCGGAGATCCCATCAGATCGTGCAGGGCTTTAACAGGTGACCCCGACATGAAGGTGCTGGTATGACCTCACTTCAGCATCTGCCCCCTCCAGGCTTCTGTCCTCTGGGCTACCGCTGCAGCTTCGCCCATGGCCGCCACGAGCTGCGCCCTCGCCGCGGGGCGCCACCGCCACCGGCTCCCGTGCAGCCCAAACCCATCAAGCCCACGTCATCCCCCCAGACCTCGCAGGCCGTCCCTCAGGCCCCCCACGCCGTCCCCCAGGCCCCGCAGGCCGTCCCGCAGGCCCCGCAGGCCGTCCCGCAGGTCCTGCGCCGTGCTCCGAAGGCTCAGACCCCTCCTGCCACGCCCAAGAAGCTGGCACCCTTAAGCGTCATGGGATCACCGACCTCCGCCGGCTCAGCACCCACAAGCCCGCAGCTTGGTGATTGGAATGCTGAGGCGGTGGTGTCGTGTCTGGGATTTTGGGGGAAGGTGATGGTGTATGAACTCGGGTCCAGCGAGGCCAAAGACGGGCAAAACTGTAGATACTAGAAATACTAGAAACCTTAAGAATACGTTTCTTTTTAATCGTGTTATATATGTATCATAGTAATTATATAGAGTGGCCGCCTGGGATCTGGGGTCGGGTGCTTCCACTGAGGACCCTCAGCATGCCGACCATCGAGTCCGAAGTGGATACACCACCAAAGGCGGCGGCGAACCGGTCGTTCCACCCGGTCCGTCCGATGCCAGGTGACCGACACACAGTAGCTAGGTAGGTAGGTAGGTAGGTAGGTAGGTACCACATCTGTTGATCTATCCCCGACACGACCCATGGCCTCGGTGGTGCCCGTTCGTTTGGCCAGGGCAAGGTGAGCTTCAGCCGCCAGTCAACCTGGGAGGGTCCCCCTTCCACTTGTTTGAGCCGCCAAGTGAGCAACTCTCGCCACTCGGAGCGACAGACCCGTGGGTGGCATGGCTGACGTGTGCCACCGTTGAAACAGGGGTGTTTTGAGATACTGTATATTATGTTTGTATATATGTGTTGATGTTCAATCTTTACTTTTGAGATGATGCAACACCCACTCTGAAAAACCGATAGACAACTTTCATTGAGTGGAGTTTCATGTTGAAACCATCCACCAGGTTCGGTTTCGTTTGTTTCTCTTCTTTGAAGACGGACGGTCCAAGGCAGCTTCATGATCCGCTCGGCGGAGCTGGGAGCATTGCTGGACCGGTGGGGTGACGTCCGGGGGGGCGGAAACAAAGCCAAGTCCAGTCGACGAACATGTTGGCATACCCAGCGCAAAGGTTCCCAGTTGCGGAGCGGGAAGGGTGAGACCAGCCAAGGGACCTGAGACCGATGGGCCAGAGCTGTTTGGGACTATAGCTGTATACTTGAGATCGCCTAAGTAGGTAGAGCCTGAAGGCCATGGAAACAATTATTTTTACACCAAGTGGCTGCCAAAAAATGCGATTGAAAATGCGTTGATTGAAAAAATGTGATTGCTAGAGTGAGAAAATGCGATCGAAAATGCGATGTTCTGAAAAATGCGATTGCTAGATGTTAAAAATGCGATTGAAAATGCAATGTTGAAAAAAATGCGATTGCTAATGTCAAAAAATGTGATCCAAAAATGCAATGCAATTAAAATGCGATTGCTTGCTGCAAAAATTACGACTGAAATGCACCGCCGACAAAAGGCGCCTGGGCTCTTTACAAGTGTGCAGCTCAAACGCATTTCTTTTGGCGATTGTGCAGTCCAAACGCATTTTTTTTGCGATTGTACAGCCCAAACGCATTTTTTTTGCGATTGCGCAGCCCAAACGCATTTTTTTTGCGATTGGGCAGCCCAAACGCATTTTTTTGGAATAAAAATGCGATTGACAATCCCAATCGCACTTTTTCGCACAAAAAATGCGCCGCGCCCGGACAAACGCATTTTTTCGTAAAAAGAATGCGCCGCGCGCAGACAAGTGCATTTTTCAATCGCATTTTTGCAACCTCCGCAGCAAGACCTTATCGCAACGCATTTTCAAAACGCATTTTAAATGCGATTTGAGGCGACAAACGCATTTTAAATGCGATTTGTCAATCAAATCGTATTTTTTTTGCGCCATGGAAGAGTGGTAAATTTGCGTACGCGTGCAAACGCATTTTTCACGCCAGCCATATGTCCAAGGTCGCCGGAAACGTATTTTTCCGGGGCAGAGTTGGGGACGAGCCCGGAAGCGAGCTGAGAACGATGTTTGCTTTTGTCCTGTCCTTCGGTCCTTGTCGTCCAGCTAGCAAGCTGGCAGTCTGGGTTGGTCGGAGTGTTTACGTCTAGTTTTGGTTTGCAGGACAGCGCTGGGGACATAGGCTGTCCGAAGCAGCCAGACAAACAAATGTGACCCAAAATCCTATGCAAAAACATCATTGCTCGCTGCAGTCAAAGTACGCTTCAAGATTCAATACCAAAAACGAGCGTTGGGGCTGCTGCCCCACCTGATGTCTATAGAGAACACTTGAAAAGCCTTGGCCTTTGATTGTGCTTAGTGGCGTGCCCACAAGGCGAACAATTAGGAAGTTGTGATACTTGCAAGCTTTCTATTTTTGCAAAGTGTTCCAGGGCTGCGTTCCCACGTGGGGACTGGCCCCCAAGGTGCATTTTGGATCCTATTTCTTGAGCCATGGGAAGTGAACAAATAATTCCCAACAGAGCTACAGAGCCTACCTAGGTTAGGCAATCTCAACTGTATACATTGACCCCTGAAATCAATCATAATCAATCCCAATATTGAGCTTGTATAACCCTGAAACTCTGAAACCACCCTATTCTGCAGCTGGTAGGTGTTGCAATCAATGGCGAAACTCATGGGTCTGGGTTTTGCATCTCACAAGTTTCAAGAAATACGGATCACGGGCTCTGGCTGTTCATCAAGTGAGTCTAACATCGTCTAAAATGAACATATTAGATCATATTAGTCACGGCAAAAAAAACACAACAAGCAAAACCTCACAGTGCGTCGGAGAGTACACTTTTTTAAAAACATCACGGTTACGTGGATGGCGCCACCTGTGAAACACAGGTCTTCGGATTTCATGGTCCTTTTTTTCTGTGCCATCTACGTCACCGGACGATTTCAGGCAGGGACACAGGCAGTTCCATAGAAGCCAAGAGAGGTTGAACAGCCTTAGGGCGCCCACACCATATGTACCACTCCAGGGTCTTAGTTCAGGTCTCTCAACCTCTCTTGGAGATCTAGAAGTTGAGCGTTTTTGCATCCGATCCTGGTCGCCGTGGATGTTGGGAACGGCACCCTGTTCTCCGCTCACATGGTGAAGTATGAAGCATGCTCCCCAGTCGTTTCATGTCGCTTCACAAAAGGACCAAGAATGGAAGATGGAGGTGCGGCGCCGGAAGACGTGGCCCGGGTCAGCGGGAACTTCCGAACATGCTTAAGACCTACCCAGTCAGTGGATATAGTCTTTAGCCGAACTGGTTTCCCCACTAAGCAAGAACAGATGTGAATGGTCAACTTACCATAAGATCCCAGAACCTTAAAAAAAGACAGTTCTAAAAAATAAACGATGTTTCTTGAGGAAAAACGGTTTTCTTGATTTTGTGCATTTTGAGGGCATGCTGTCTGAAGTACATGGCCAGGCAAACGCACACATCATCCCCTTTTTATTCCTCTCAACTTTGCTATTCATATCTTGATGTGCCCACCTTCCTCCAAACATGGGAACTTGTCATTATAGACATCTTAGACATGGCACCAAGCAAAGCTACTTCAGAGTCCTGCGATCCTTTCTGATTTCTGAAGGAGCGATGCCAGGTTTCAGATGAACACATGTGCCGAAAGAAAGAACAACTGTGTGTTTGTGGTCTGAAAGCAGTCTACAAAAAGCATGTTTCTTTTTCCTTTCACCCCCAGAAACTGAAGTGCTTCAAGATCAATCCGAATTGGCACGTTGCCGGCATCACATGGGAGTGATCAATTCTCCTCATGGACACCTTCAAATGGCATACTCCGGAACCCATAATTTTTTACGGGTTCCCTACGGGTTACTACGGGTTTTTTACGGGTTCCCCACGGGTTAGGAAAAACGTATTTTTTTTTAAACATGGTTTCTCCAGTATGACCCACGGGTATAGACGGGTTCCCCACGCTTATAGACGGGTTCTCCACGGGAACCTGAAATTTGGATGGTTGGGGGGGTTTCTTGTCATTAAAGTCCGTTCGACAACCTGCGGAAAACACAAGATGTTTGGAGACCTATTTTTTTTGAGAGTGTTACTTTCAAGACATTGATACCCAAATCACACGCTGAAGGGCACAATCTACAATCTGGGCTTTGTGTTCGAATGGGCACCAACCAACTGCCTCAACACGGATTTGCTACCCTACCCCCTCATTCTTTACAAGTGGTCCATGCGCGGGCACTGCTCAAAAGGACATGTTCAACAAGAAGACTCAAGTTCAGGAGGGTTTGGGGGTGACACCGGCCCATGCTGGTGGTATAAAATAGTCCATGAGCCAAACAAGTCTGAGATCAAAAACAACATAAGCCATGGCAAGCCATTCTTCTTCACGAATCAGCTCCCATTTGGAGGTGTTTCGGGGAAAAACGAGTTTTTCCAGGATAAACAATTTTTACTGCCAATGCCACTGGAGAAGCGATGTTTCGCTCCAGACATGACAAATAAGTAGTGTTTCGGGTCTATAGGTATGTTAACCTAATTTATGTTCGGAATAAGTATGTCACACAGCCTGCCAGGTCAAGAACACCTTCATCAACCTTTCCGAGTCGAAGGTAGATGCAACTCGGCGCCCAACGGACGATACCTTTCGAAAGATATTATACCTAGATCTTCCATTGTAGCACATATTTGTGCTCGTTTTTTTTGGTGATCGTTTTTGCTAGATTTGCTCGTTTGAATATGCATTCAAAAAACATATACGTTAAAAACCCTTTGGTTCCTTAGATTTGGTATATTTGGTCAACATGAGCCATGCATCTATAGCACATGTATGCACAAACTCACTTGCACACACACCGACAAACACTACTTTCTCTTCTCCACCTTCGCACGAGATCATCTTCGATCTGTCTGGATCAGCTGCTTGACCGCACAGGCGCCAGTTGTTCAAGCGCCCTTTTCCATTCAACATGGTAAGCCACAAGGCACCGGTTTATTGTTGAATGGGCCAAATGACTAGAGTGAACCCGCCTCTCAACCCGAGCCACGCGCCCTATGTAATCTTCGTCTGACCACGTGGCCAGGCCTCAACAAAACAAAAAAAATCTAGCTTATTGATTTCTATCACTCACTATGCATGTGAGCTGGGGCATAGACTTGCTGGATTCAGAATATGCGCCGCTTGGCACCCAAGTTGGTATTCCATGTCACGACTCAGTTGCCAAGCGCAAGTGTGAGCATGAATGCTTAAAAACACAACACCCTCAGAAGGTTCAGGCATGGCACATGAGGTGACACATCATATGCGCCTTTGGACGCAAATACCACAGATTCCAACCATTAATTGCACTTAGTCTGGCACAACCCCCGTAGCTCTCCTTGGGACACTACACACGTACCGCATGTATGGAACGTGCTTGTCCACGCATTCTCTTAATTAAGAACAAACAGCCACCTGTGGAACAACTAGTTAGTGCAAAGCAGTGGCCATCATTTACCACCCATTCACAACTGCTTCACGGGCTTCGGGTGCACTCAGCCACAGCTTTCCGTTATATATCGAGTGGAAAAACTTGTTTGCTGAAGACATCCCCCAGGTCAGGACCTTCAGGATATCTCGGCAATTCTCCTCAGGTGTCACGTGACGGGTTTGGGTTCCAGGCTGCTAGACTTTCAATGTTGACTTTTAGAAACTTAGAAACCATTTCCTATGCATAGGATGCTGCAACTGGGACAAGTATCTGGGACACTGTCAGGGGAGATAGTGGGCAGCAACTCCGCAAGCCACTTTCCCAGCAAAGAGGCATCGAAACCCTTGCCGAGGCCTTTGGGGAACATCTTCAACCTGATAAGCGTTGGAAAGACCGTGCATATTATAAGCTACTTGGCTAAAGCAAGTGATTCAACAGCTGTTCTAGATTCCAACATGTTCTCATAAAATCGAGGGACGACTTCACCTTCATGGTTTGGTAGGAGAAGTCCGTCAGTGAGGTTGTTTTACCATTACGGACGCAGTAGGCCTTGAAACTATCAAATGCACGGTCAAGTTGAGTTGCAATCACGGCGGCGCCCCAGTACTGGCAATGGATTGCCAAAAAACATATTGCGGAGGCACAGTCATCCTTGCCGTAGCCTTGTATGGCATGAGTGTGTGCCACATCTATCAAAATCTTTTTGACGGTATCCCCTTGAGGGATCTTGCGTAGAGGGCTCACAATTCCCACTTTGAAGGGGCTGGGAGTTCTGCAAATGTCCTGACCGCTGATCTATTGGATAGGTCCCACCATTCCTGGGCGTGCATGGCATTGCATGAGTTTTGGGGTGAGTTGCTCTCATGGATCCATTTGCAAGGCTACAGCAAAGGCACAGGAATTGCACACCTATGGCACTTCCTCTTCGAGGTAAATCCTGTGGATAGCTTATACGCGGATCGGAGCCACGGCCAGTCCCCCTTGGTTCCCAAAAACTGGAACCAAAACCTCTCATGCCATTGTACTTGACCTGGCGGCTGGCACAAAGCATGGCATATGTGTGGCAGGGGAGTTGATACATCGTAAACAAAAGCATGTGCTGATAAGGGGCTTCTATTCCATTTGCATGTAGGGCAGTGATATCTTGGACAAGGCTTTCCAGTAGGCCGTCGAGAGTAGCCCCCTTGGGGGTGTAACGTTCCGATGGTAGGATTGTGTAGAGCAGTCTCGTAGTAAAGGTGTGCCTAAGAAGCTGTGCAAAAGTGAACAGGCATGTGATTGGTATGGGGCCCGCATACTATAAACAGCACATAGGTCAAAATGGTAAGGCTAGCTGTGACTGACCAAGGTTCTTCTTCGAGTTGATGTGTTCCTCACCCATCCAGCCTATTACCGGTTGAAAACTGCAGATCAATACTGGACTCTTGCATTGGCCCCGGCCTTCGTCACCATGCAGCATCCATGGTATTGTTCTACTTGGCTCAGCAACATCCACATCTTGTACGTGTTGGTACCGCTGCCAAAACCTTTCTAGCATGTTGTGTATATCCTTCAAGTTGTCATTGGTCAGCGTGTGCCCCCCGAGTAGGAACACACCACCATAGTGCTCAAAGCATGCCTTGACCCAATCCGAAAGCTGCAAAACCGGCCAAGGCTTCTGAAGCACCTTCCGGCTGGCAATTTTGACAGGCACCACCACTGCTTTGATGTCGATCGGGATGGTGTGGCCTTTGCGGGAAATGAGCCGGTACAAGTTGCGACTTGCATTCTTCTGATACGTCTTGGAGCGCCCAAGGGCTGCTGTACTAGCAATCTCTTGATCGTATATTCCTTAGCTTTTTACGATCTGCAAATCAGCACTCTAGAATGCATTCCATGAATTCCATAAAAATACAGATCGATGATCGATGAGAGATTCCGTGCCGGGCCAACAGCTTTCCGGTTTTGCGAGCTCGTCCACAAACATCGATAGCAGATGCCTGGCCCACAATAAATTGATCCAACTATACCCCCAACCACGGTACAATCGTACGAATGGTCGTGCATGCACAGCCGGAAACAGGTGATGAGGCACCCCTTTGGCAAAGCTCCTGAACAGGTCTTTGTCCACTTCGTGGGAGCTTTGGTCGGATCCAGAACCTGAGGGTGTTCGCAGGTAGGAAACAACACCATGGGTCTTGGACTGTGGGGTCACAAGTGCGTGCAACTTGAGGGTGGCACTGATGCCGCCCTTGGACTTGGGAGAAGCAAAGGATAGAGATCTATGACCTGGCACATGGCTACGCACAGGCAAGTTGAGTGAAACTGAGCACCATTGTTTTGAACACCCTCAAACTTTGGAGAGACTGGGAAGATGACATCAACTTGCACCAGACTTTTTAACATCCCAGCAGACTTCAACGTATAAGCTCATACAGTGGGATCCCGAGAGCAAATACCTAGGAATAGAATTGAACAGCCGATGCATCCCCAAGTAGCGAAAATAGATCGCTACCTTTCGCATCGTTGAAATATATAGTACTGCCAATCATTGCGCCATTCTCAATGGCCCAGGGCAATCTAACAGAAGAGCTTACTCAGTAGAGTCAGGCTTTGCCTTCCCCTTAGACTCGGACTTTGACTTCCGGGACTTTGCACTCGATGCTTCGGCTTGGGTGCACTTTTGGCCTTGGCCTTTGCCCTCTCAGTACTGGGAGGTGTCTTCGTCGTTGCCGGCGACTTGATGCTCCTCAGCAAAGCCATGATGCAAAGCAGGCATATCAGGGGGGGGTGGTTGCGGCTTCACATTGCCAATGCTAACTAGATACCTGGAGCGAGTGAGCATACCATTCATGGCCACATCCAGCTTTGTGCATTGGACGAACAACTGTTGGATTTGGTCTCGCTTCTCCCTTAGATATCGATTTTTCACACCGCTTTAATTTGTTTGGTGCACACGTTGAACAATGGAACACACACGCTACATGCATGCATATAAAATTCAAAGGGGCTTGTCCATGGTTTCAGGGCTTACGGTGGCCTCGGAGAGCTTGTCGGTCAAAGAGTTGTAGGCACCATCCATTTCCTTGAGCAATGTCTGAATTTGCCCAACCAGCCTAGAATTGCAAATCGGACGGGCAATAACATGCAAAGTGGAGTGGGAAATGCTGGTCATGGACAGGCTTCATGATCGCTTCCAAGAAACCCTTTGGCTTGAGTGGTCTGGATGGATGTGATACGGTCCTGCAATTCCAGATGTGCACGTTGACCTTTTGACTAGTTAACACATTTAACATGCACTGTTGGCTAGATATCCCCCCCCAAAAAAAGCAGGGCTGTCCAGCTCTGCTGGGATCTTGTCCAACTTTCGACCCAGAACATCGATCAACTGCGGCAAGATCGATACAGCACTGGTGTTGGCTGTAACTGCTGGGAAGGTCATCCTCAGAGCAAGTTGAAATACTGCAGCTTTTAACAAACAATTTATAATTGGCAAGGTGATCATGCAGCAAAACATGATCCAACACTGACAAGGAACTTGCATGTCATCACGTTTTGCACGGACCCCATTGCATCTTCAGGATTACCTGACCCAGAAGCACCTCCAGTCTCTTGACCAATCTCTGGCAGGTCACTCACCAAAAGCGAGCCCTACTGATCCTGGTGACGGATGAGGCTGCAGGGCACCGGCGGAAAGGACAGCTATGTATGTGGCATGGTGTGTATGTGCACACATGTGCATATATAACCCCCTCCTCCACCTCGAAAGACCCAGTACGGTCAACTTCTTCCAGATCAGTGTTCTCAAGTTGGAAGGTCTCCGTGAGGACAAGGCGGACTTCCTCCTCCCCATGTACTTCATTGACCCTCACAGCGCCATTTTTCCTGCCCCACTCAAACGCACGATCCACCATTTTCCTGGGCAGGTCAATGATATATACATAGATATACAGTATATGATGGAAATCTCTTACAATCTACTCAAAATATTAACGATAAGTCTCTGGGTCCACCCGGCGACGTTCTCAAGGTAAGCTCTGGTGTACCAACCTCCATCAACCTTCATACGGTCGGCTTTCAAGGATTTCTTCGAAACCTGCACCTCCAGCTGACCAAAGGATCCATGTTCTCGGAACATTTTGCGCAGCTCCTGACCTTGGCAAATTCATTAATTGCTATTTCACTTGGCTAGACTTTGGGTAAAATGCTGTCTCGTCCGTTCTCCACATCGCCAACGCTTTCTTTGAGCACTGGAATGTCCCTCGCTTGGGTTTGAAGTATCGACGAAGCCTAGGCACGAAACAATGAAGCCGTGCACGAATCTATATCGTTCGAGCTAGAGCATGTCACCCAACAGAGTTGGCATGGGCTTGTTGAAACAAACACACATGCATGCAGTCTTATCTACATACACGCATAAGCCTAGGAGCTTGAAGTACCCTGGTGACTGAGGTCTCCGGCCAGTCTCTGGAATCACTGAAGGGGTTGGTGTCCCTGGACATGGAATCTCCTCTTCACGTGTGGGCTCAGGTAGGGGCTCAGGTGTGGGTGCAGGGAACGTGGCTTCAGGTGTGGGCGTCGGCTTGGGTTGTGGCGTGGACAAAACAGTGGGCGAAGGAGAAGGGGGCACAGGCGGAAGGGCCAGGGAGTTCTCCCGTGGATGGGAATCTCCATAGCCTTCAGGCAGTTGAGAATCATGGCCCATGGACTCTCCTGCCAACTTACCTGAGCTGTCATCGACCACCACAGGTCCTGAGCTCACCTGATCGGTCCCCGGCGTTTCATATAGCGCTGTCGGTTGAGAATCCAACAGTGTGCTCTCTTCAGCCAAGCCAGCACAGAACTCACCACCACGTTGAGCGGTATGAGGTGCTCCTAAGCGGTTTTAGAATTGTTGTAGTATGCGATAGTATGCGCACGCGCATGCGTGTCTACAACTGTGACTGCATACTCTTACCAGCCTGGAACTGTCGTTTGTGGTGCAAGTTCTGATGGTTGGTTTGAAAGCTTGCGGCGCAAGGCCTCAACACGCTGCTTCTTTGCCTCAGCCAGCTAGCATGAAATAACTATACATATAATATATATATATATATGTTGTTTTATGCATAATGTAAAGTGTAAGAAGTGCAAAGCTTGCCATATAACATGCACACCGATTTGCTAGAATCAGCTCTTCCAATTCCCGCTTCCGTGAAGCGTTGGATCCATCTCCAAACTTTACAGCCATGGTTCCGGCAACAAGCGTGTTGGAAGAGTGCAGTCTTTCCATATTTTCCAAATCAAAGCCAAGAATGCTAAGCAGAAAGGATACACAAGACTACAACTGCAAAATCTGTGCGTGGCATCAAGTGAGAATCCAAAATCTGCTCAACCCAAAATCACACTTTTCAGGTATGCGGGTGTTTGCGTGAATATGCGCGAATATGCGCTCGGTATGCGCATCCCGATTTCTACTCAACCCCAACGAATTTGAATTTCTGTCATCAATGCAAAAAGTGTGCGGGCAATCCCGCACGATCCAGGCTCTGATCTATATAGATAAGTCTGCAAGTTGCGCTCGAAGTCGGCGATCTCCAAGAACCTGCCAAATTCTGCAGAACGTTCTATAAATAATACCTGCCTGGATTGACATACTGGCCTCAGACTGGTACTCTAGGACAAAGCTTCTCAAGGTGCTCTCCCATTGCACGCTAGGATACCTACAGGGACCGGTGTTGTGAACCCACTGCAGTAGCTATAGCCTTTAACAATCCCGAAGACAACACAGTGGTGGTTTCCTAACAACCAGGGACCAGCCTCACTTTCTTGGACTGGAACAAGTAAAGCAGTGGATCCAATAAGTTTGCATCCTCCCACTGGTCTCCCATGGGCAATTGCTCAAACTGAGCCCGGTCATCGAGAAGTCCCCCAATCTGCTTTTGTACCGCAGGTCGCGGCGATCAGAAGATTCATGCAGATGCTCTTCATAGAGCTTCTGAAGGCTCCGGGCAAAGCCTACAGTGTATGTCCTGAGAAGTACTGTTCAATTCCCATGCCCCGGGTCCGTGTACTGCTGCCAAACAAGTATGGGATCTTGGTATACAAGCCAAGTAACTGTGATGCTTTGAGACCACGTGTTCCCTGAAACTTACGGACTCCAGCTTTGTTGGTATATTTTCCTGGGCGGTGATTTCAATGATTTTGCTAGCTCGCACCAAATGCTGGCATGCATATATACAATTAAGTCTAGCATCGGGTGGTGAGTCCAGTGGTCCTACGTTCCCTCTCCTCTTTACGGAGGGCTCCAAGGTGAAGTCGTTGAACTTCCTTCATGTTGGAATAGCAGACCGTAGGTTTTGGTGTCCCTGAACCATGAAGCATCATCCAGAAGCAGCAGTGATAAACCTAAGTTCGCCGTGTTTGCAATTTGAGTGGCCTAGAACGCTATGTAAATCACATGGTACAACAGCTGTAAACACACTGCATGTTATCAACAGCTGATTAGTTCATGATTTCCTTGATGATGCATGGACTCACCATGACCCACCCCTTTCCACGGTTTGATTCCCAAACCAACCCGCAACAGGTGAAGGATGGTGAAGGGCAAATTCCACAGATGCAGGCATAACCTCGCGGGACGGCGTATACGGAGAGGGAGTAGTTCTAGTCCTGCCTAGCTGCAGTTGCCACGTGGTTCACAAACCACTCGAACCGCCGATGGCGGACAAGCAAAGAATTACGTGGTTGCTCCAGTACCCACACCAAATTCTTGCTCATCATGTAAAGCAGTACCAGAACCAGCCTCGGTTGCATATGATGTATAAATGATAAGTACAGAGAGGCTTGATGTTCAATAACATGCCGCATATGAATGCCTAGAGGTGTATGGCAAGAAACCTTGAAATCATCATGTTGGCTCCCCTTATCCATGGTAGAAAAAGATTTCCAGCCACATTTACAAAGTTCCGCCAACTAGTACCTCGCGATGGAATCCCCCAGCTCGAGCAGTCAGGGGCCAAATGCCCCAGTGCATTGCAATCCATTTGCATCACAGTCCACAAGATCAGCCTGGGACGGATTTTTTGCCGGGTTTCGACGATAGCGGTGTGCACTACGGATATTATATACATTGAGAACCCCTACAATGAACCCCATAGTCAAGCAACAAGAATCCTGGAGAAGAGTTGAACTCCATAGCGCTCGGATGCAGGTCCCTGTCATATGATGCGCATCTGTACCCAGCATCATGCCTAGGAACATCGGGCGACATTCATCTCGGCGCTACCAGCAACATGCATGGCTTGTGCATGACCCTGGGGATGGGACATGGTCCGGGTCAATGCTTGCTTTCCGCTAAAGACCTCCATGAAATCGAAGGGAGTGCTCGGTATATCCATCCAACCGAGCATCAACACCTGCATGGGATCCACACTTTGGGTTTTGAAGGGCATACATGGGAGCTGTATGCATCGCTACAAGCGACAAGGTCCCGGCCAGTGCTATCAGGACCTCAAAGCTATACAGGCATGACTTCGAAAAATATAGTTCATTCTGTCTGTATGGCTCAGGCCTTTGGAGCCTGCACATGCTGCAGGTTGAACACTGGGGAATAAGCCAGCATGGCTTTCTCAAAGCCACGACGGACAACAGAGCCCAAATCCCTCCAAGAGCATGGTACCAAAATGCAATGCAGTTCATGCCACACAGACACTAAAGACCTGCGTGCAACAAAATTACAGTAAGACACGCCAGTTGGAACCTGCTCTCCAGGCCTTTCTCATCCAGCTGGATGCCCGGGTCATTGCACCGCCTGGATGCACCGCCTGGATGCACCGTGGATGCATTATCACTAGGCCCACACAGTCAGTGCACACACACACGCACATATGGACCAGTGTAGCTAACACAAAGCGGAACAAAAGTTGCGCAGGACCTTTTGCTCAAGATTTGGTGCATGGGTCCTTCCCCACTGCATGGTTGTTGATCTCTAGAGCTAGTGGACTAGCTGCAACCCCACGGATAGCATTAAACACCTATCCAAATACCCTGACCATGTTCCTCACGGTCAAAAGTACTAGCCGCTGTGTTTATCACAGCCACATCGTCCATCACTACAGCGCTCCAATCACGACGCAGCATGATATGCCTAAGCTCTTGGGTGCGTGCGTGCCAGTGCGGGCTGGGACATGCAGCACGGATCAGCATGGACAACAAAACGTACGAAATATAATCAAAACAATTCGAATACAATTCCAAGTAACCGCTTTGGCAAGAATCTTGGCCTCCTCGTCGCTCTTTCCATCGATCAAGGCTGCCTTCATCGCTCTGTGATAGGCGCTGCTCTTCCTGGATGCCTTCTTCTTTGCTTCGATCTTGGCTTCATCTCCCTTGGCATCATCTCTCTTCCTCTTATCACCCTTGGCCTTTGCAGCTGCCTTGGCCTTAGCCTTTGGCTTGCCACTTGAGGCTGAGGCTTTGCTTGCATCACTCAGGAGATTCTCAGAAGATGATGCTTTCTTGCTGCTCGAACTCTTGTTGGACCTCCTGGACTTCCGGGACTTGTCCGAAGGCTTGCCTTTAGACTTCTTGTCAGACTTCTTTGGCTTGTCAGACTTTGACTGCTTGGCAAGCTTGTTGGACTTGTCCTTGGATGACTTCTTGCCGCAAGCCGTCTCCTCCTTCTCAGCTCCCTTCGTGCGACGTCGCTTTGCAGGCAAGTTTTTGCGTTGATCAGCTGGCGCAATAGGAGACAGCTGGTCGAGCACTTCAGGACGCTCCAAACCATGCTCAGTAGCTGTTGTTGAAGTTGTCGAGACTGGCGAATTGGTTTTCACCTCTTTGTTGATCTCCTTTTTGTCGCCGTCCTCCATCACAATCAATTCTTCTGCAGGTTGCCCAGCAGCAACAACAGCAAGATCTCCATGTTGTCCAGGCCTAGGCTAGCGATGTCATTAAGAATTTACACACGTGTTGCTATAGCGCAAACAAGGCACATAGGAAAACTCATGGAAAATCTATAGTCATGCTGAATGTGGTCAAGGCAAAACTCCGGGTGCGCGGTGACCTGCTGTTGCGGTTTGGCAACCTTCTTGAACTTGCTCCAGTACTGGATATAGCGCTTTCTGATCCAAAGGTCCTCAACATCCTCATGAACTGGTGCAGCCACGCCATCATCGGCAGGAGCTGAAGTTGCCGGCCTTTTGGCGGGAGGTTCTGTGGCAGAGCCATTTGGTGGCACAGAGGGTGAAGCTTCCGGCAGACTTTCATCTGCCATAGGTCTCAATCTCTTTGGTCGAGATGCTGCCTCCGTGGGAGGGTTTGCTGAACCAGGAGGCGCCTGTTGCGGCACAAGCTCCTCCTTGGGTTTGGCCTCTTCAACTTCCATTGCTGCAGTTGCTTCCTCCAAGGACTCCTTCAAAGCCCTTTCAAGCTGCTGCTCTTCTGTTTCGTACAGCTCAAGTTCCCGCATTTGCTCCTCAAGCTCCGCAAGCTCCTGGGCCTCTTGAGCTTCCAAAATCTCTTGTGTTTGGACTTGGATTCTCAACTCACGCTCCAATGCTTCCAAAGCCTCCATCTCTTTCTGGAGATCCTCTTGAGAGACACGTTGGTTGCAAAGTTCACTTCCAACCACTGCAGCACTTGCGCCAATGGAAGCCACATCAACACTACTGGTAGGCCGAGGTGAAGTATCAGGCTTTGGAATTTTGCACCCTTGCTCCCTGATGTTCGCGACATAGCCCACCTTCGAGCATTTCAAGCACCGGTAGCCGTATTTGAGATCCTTCACAATGTAGTGGTCCCAAGGATTGCCAGGTAAGTTTGCTGGTACTTCAACAGAAGGCTCAGTAGACCCAAAAGCATCACTGCCTTCGCAAGCGTGCACATGACAAAAGAAACCTTCCCTGTATATGATATCTTATAATCATGCATGTCTATAACATATATATATATATATATGCAACTTTTCTTGGGGGTGTTAGCCCATTTCAAGATCCGGGGCACACAAAAATGGCAAGAGTTGCCTTTGTTCCATCTAAGGTACAAGAAGCTTTGGCATCATCCAACTCACAGGCGGGCAAACCTGGGCCCGCGAAGAGTTGACGACGGCAGCCAGTGGTCGTCTCCTGGAAGTGGCCGGCCACCGATGGATGGAGCACACACATATAATATATATATATAGGTATAAATTGTAAGGAACTGATGCATATCATGTGTCCCAATTTGGGGGATGCAAAAAATATAGAACTTTTACCTTTGGACTCATGGCAAAATGCTAAATGGCTCCTTTGAGGGGTCAACAATCGGATCGTCTTCATGTTCTTCTTCCTTTGCGTCTTCTTGCTCGTTGTCACCTTCCTCGGCGCAATCTTCCCCAGTAGGCTCGGGCTCGTCACGGGCAGCCACGCTCATGGAACCTGACATTGCGGTAGATTTTTAATTTCTTAAATGCGAGGTGAGGGTTATGAGAATTGGAACAAAAATTTACCAATCATTCCATCCAGAGAGCTGTTGGATCGCGACCCAGTATGGGGCGTGTCAGGTACAGGGATTCCAGCTGCAATCATGAGTTGTTGGAACTCTTGTTCTCGAGGTCTGTGTCCTCTCTTGGTAGCCCTGGAGAATAGGTAAACGTGATTCCGCAGGACCCAAGACTCCGCATTCACATGATCACCTGGCAGATGCCAATATGATGCATGCACGCCTGCATAGATAGATCTATACAGGCCACATGGGGATCTGGGAAGAAAAAAGGGAAACTATTAAGCTAGTCATGACAAGTTGCGGGTTGGACATGCTTTCCCTCTTGGCCTGCAGTGGGTCAGAAACAGGGTGACCGCCTCAGCCAATGTATTCACAGATGGGCGTAGTCCTTGGCTGCACGTTGGACTTGTAATAGATTAGGGTTGAGTGGATTTCCTACGCCCCTATCTACAAAAGAGTGCCCCAACCAATCATTACTAAGAGTCCGAGGTGTTCAACAAGTGGTAGAAGAACTTTGTAGTTGGCACACACCTCTTTGCGAGTGATTTCCTGGTTCTTGCCGACCACAGCCATCACACCAGCAGCAGCTTGCTTAACAAGAGCCTCATTCTTCTTCCACTGTTCAACTACTGCTGCTATGGCATCGGATGCCATGAAGCCTCAAAACCTATGGCCTATATGTAGACGATGTTTCTTGGACCAAATGGCACTGCATGGTGTTTGTTGTCCAAGTGCTCATGAAACACCCACGGCTGATAGCGGTATTTTTGCCGGGCCTTCAGCAAACGTCGGACAGGTGGACCATTGATCGAGTACCTGGATGCGCGCACATTGCACCGGGCGGGTTTCAGATATGAGCAGGTCTTTACATGTAAAACATCGAGAACTTTCATGCAGTGACCATATTTGTGTCGGTATATTTATATAGATCCAGAGAAGGGGCACTTGGTCACCTGGTGATGATAGGGCGGTGTCCAGAAACAGAGCCAAAATGGCTGGACATGGGATGCTGAATCTGCGCGTTTTGGTAAACATGCACGTAATCTACGAGTCTTCTTTTAGCCGCGTTGGCACTGTACCAAGGAGCGCCGCTGCCGATCCGTAGAGCGCTGATCTTCTTTGAGAAGGGCGGGCGCTTCATTGGGTGGGCGCTTCATTGGCTTCTTAAAGAACACCTTCCCCAAAATACCAATCACATACCAAAAAAAATACTAAAACATATGGTTTGAGGGGCTGACTTCATCCATAGAAAAGCAAAAGCTGACAGCTTGAGGAGTGACTTCAGGGTGTTGATCCAACCAAGACACCAAAAACAACTTAAACCAAGTTTAGTTTTGCTGAAGATTCTGGTGCCAACCTTCCTGTGACCATTCTGGCTGAGGAGGAACGACTGGATCCCTAGGGAGGGTATAGGGTATATGGTATAGGGCTTTGCTGTTCTGAAAGCGACACCCTCAGAGAGGCGGCTGTGGATTAAATTAAAGCTGCAGGGGTTGCACAAGATCTCAGGCGCCTTGAAAATGACAGATCATTCGACAGTGCACTTTTGAGAGGGCACCACTCAGACAGGCTTTCCAAAAGATACGGGTTGTTCTGTATTTGCATGGCGTAACGCGTGTGCAACCCCACCCCCCTCTCATTTTCAAGGCCTGCAACAACTGCGTCGGGTTTCCGAAATCGACCTTGTTGCTTGAAAATAGATCAGCTTGGGCTTGGACGGTGGACCACTTCCGCGGGCAGAAACGATCAGCTGGGTGTTTGCAAGTCATTGTGCAGGGATATGTGTTACATAAAAGTTGCAAACAATACATATGATTGTGCTTGTATGTTTGTCCAGCTTGAGGGCTTGTCATGGCCAAGTTTCTGCCTGAAGTTCTCGTCCAAACCCACGATCCACTGCTTGGTGATGGTGGTGTCCGGAAAGTACTTAGTGAAGATGTTTGTCACAGGAGTTGCACATGAAACGCATAAGCCTTCAGCACAAACGAACTCAGTTTATATAGTGAACTTATAATTATATACAACTCAAACCATTTACAACAATGGTTTTTACCGACCAGGTCCTAGTTCTTACCGGGAAAAAAAAACAATCCTGTCCTTCGAAGGCGAAGCAAACCGTAGCAGCCCCCCAGAAGCCGCTTTTGACAGCTCCATCACCCTTCGCGAACTTCCGCGGCAGTGCGCAGAACCCTACGCCGCAGCTGCTCGGCGCGGAAAAACATTTCCCACCGGAACATCTGCAGCACTCGCATAGCGCTTCAGTGCGACGCGCCTCTGGCGCTGCGAAGACACACAGAGCTTCAGTAATCCTCGGTGGGCCGGTCCCGATTGGGAGTGTTTCAACGGTCCCACCCGGCAGTGGAACCTGATGCCACCGTTTCGAGCGAAACGGTTTCACGAAACCAAACAACGGGTGCTTTCTCGGTGATCAAAAGGTGGTACAGTACAGACTCGTAGTGTGACGGCAGTGGGAGGCCCCGATGTTGGAAGGTACTGTAGGTGAATTACTTGGTTGTTTCGTGTTGTTTGGTTTGACTTGTTCGACAAGACCCGTGTTCCACAGAGGTCCGCGAGATGCAGCGCATGAATGACTCCTCGGTCCTGCCTAGTAGTGGTTGGGGTGACAACGTCCTTCTATCTCAATGACCCTTGCCATTTCCTCTATGGAATGAGGGGGGTCAACACTCCCTATAAAGCGATTTATGGATGTGGCACCTTGGTCCCTGGAGGGGGGCAGCCCCCCAGTTTATAGAGAAACCAGTTTTGTAAACAGGATTTGATCAGTATGTTGCGCACAGGGTTTCCATGTTATATTTTAACCATTTTGCCTGAATATCGACCTGGTTGGATCAATGTGGTCACGTTGTATAGACATGGTGTTCACGAACGAGGAACGAGACCCTCAGATCAGGTTCCACTGACACTCAGTTCTTTTCAGAACGCACGGATCATATTGCTCTTGACATTTCTGGACAACCAAAGTTAAAATACGATATGAAATCATTGTTTGTTTTTTACATCAACATAATAAGCTCCGTTAAGAAAGTCGAAACAACTATATATATATATATTGGATGGTCCGTGCGGCTTACATGCTCCATGCTTAATGCTCCAAATCGGACATGGCACGATCGGAGATGAAAGGGAGAAGCAAGAAATGCATTATATATAATGGTTTTATCTCGTACATCTCATAAATGTATTAAATATTGTATGACCAATATTAGGGCACAGAAAGCACACAAGCAAACGCACAGTAACTTGACAAAGTCATACCGAGCATATATGTATATAAGCAACATAATATGTGAAACATTGAGGAAGAGAAACCAGACAACTAGCCACCAAACCTCACCTCTCCTAGCCTCAGCTGAAAAAGCCACCGCAGCACGCCAACCTTTGTTTCCCAAGGAATACCTTTATGAAATGCCTTGTAGCTGGCCTTTTTGCTATTTTCAGTCTTGGTGTACAAATATCGTCTAATATCGCTTCAAAAAGTCAACCCCTTCAAACTACCGTAGTAAGCAAGGCAGTAAAAACCGTCCAAAAGACTCATTTGTCCTAGTCATAGTCCCAAGACAAGCCAATCTCTCCAAAGGAATGCCGTCAAACATGTCAAAACCCACCAACCCTGCTCTCCCACAGAGGACCCGTTCCTGCCACGTACCCGATCCACGGCGTAACAGAATCGCCAAAGGAGCTCCGACCCCCTGTGACTCGCTAAAAGGAAAAAAGAGAGGCTCGGGTGTCCAAGCACCAGAGTCTGAAGGCTGAAGGCTTGCTTAGCGGCTTAGCGTTTCAGAAGTGACTCGCACCTAGGCATCGCCCAAAAAACGAACGCCCAGAACGAGGCACGGCACCGGTCGCAGTTCACCTGGACCGATTGATCTGTGGGCCTTTACACACCGTGGGGCTGGTCGTCTCCACTGGCATTCACTGGCATATTTCCAGACCTTGGGGTGCTTGGAAAGGGGCCCATGTAGGCTCAGGGACTTTTTCCACGGATGGTGTGTTTGGGTATTTGATGTAAGGTTTGGAAAGTTTGGATGTGAAGGCGATGCAAAGGTTCAGCCGAAAGGTCAGAATGTCAGAAGCCATGTCCATGTGCGACGTAAACCCTATGGTTCCACTGCCACCGGTGGTTGGAGACAGGTTAATGGAGGCGAGTTGACAGGGTCCAGTCAAATGAGAAGGTATGTGGATCCCTAGGAAAGCTAAAGCTACACCTATTGCGTGTGTGCGTGTGTGTGAGTGTGTCAGAATCGGTAGAACCTGCCACTGGGTTTTGGTTGGTTGGTCATAGTTCTTCCTCCAGATCTTTTGGAGGCGTTCCAATTTCTCCACCAGGGAGGGCCGGCGCGCAGAAACTAGGCCCCTTCTTCGGTTCCGGGCCGCAGAACTGTCGAGACGCGAACCGGAGAGGCCTGACCGAAACAAGATGAGACCAGAATTGGCTTGTCCAGTAGGATCGGTTCATCAAGTTCTTTAAAAGGTCCGGTTTTTGGGATCGGCAGGGCCCCAAAGGCTCAACGGGTTTCAAAAAATGCAGGCACGCTTACAGAACAACACCCAAAAAACAAAAAAACACTGAGGAAAAACACATGCGTCAAGTAAAACAAGTTCAGCTTGGGATCCCAACAAATCCTGAAAACTACTGCTCACCATGCCCCGCTCACATGCAGTCCAGATGTTGGGCAACAAAGACCGCTTCAACAACTCACCACAGCGCCACCCAATTCCCCAAAGATCCACCCAAGTCCACTGAACCTCCAGTTCTATCTTCGGGGTACGCAGCACTGGCGCAAAGGTGCCCTCACATCCACTGTCACACCGGATGGGTTTTCAGGAACCATCTGAAATTCAATTGAAGGAGTTGGTGGTCAGACCCTTCGGTCGCATGTGTTTCTGTGGTCCCTCGCATTGCATTAACTAACTTGGTCCTCATCGGATGGCTTCCGCATGGTTTGTTCAAGCCGCCATGGCGAGACTGGCCGCCATAGGATGAGACATGCCAGGCGTTCCACATGAGAACCCTGGCATTGCGAATGTGTTGTTTTTGCTTGGCCAGGTGTTACTTGATACGAGTCTTCACATGTTTTGGACATTCAGTTAGCCCAATCACAACAGGGCACTCTGAATTGTGAACAAACAATTCAGCTAACTGCACAACTGCAGGTAGAAGGGTCGGCATCGATGTTTTTCATTGTGTTTCAATTGAGGAAGGCGGTGTCCAGCTGATCCCCCAATCTTATCCAGGAAAAGAGTCTGAGATATGAAAACCGCCCGAAAGGGACTGAGAGGCACGTTGTTTGGAGAGTTGTGTTTTTCTTTCTTTTCTGAAGGTGGATGTAAACTGGATGGTCGTTGAGCACGGGCTGCCAGGCATAGGCTTCATCATGCTTGAGGATTGATTAAGGTGTTCGGTGACCAATTTAAGCGAATGGCCTCGTTGAACCGCCCCCGTCCGTGGTCGACCCTGCCCACACCGTGCACAATCGTGCACAGTCCAAACACGTGTTTTGGCGTTCCGATGAACTGGATGGATCGTTGACATGGGGCCTGAAAATGAACCTTTGGACCGGAAGTCTTTGGAAGACTCGTTTCCTCTAATGGCAACACCGGATTAATAACCCTCCCTCCCCCGCCCCTGAATGGTCAATCAGGAGGGCTCGCCAAGACTAAATAACTTCAATGCGAATGCAGTGGCTAGCTTCTGCAGTCGGGATATGACAGGATCACTGGCTACGCACAAGGAGTCCTTATGGTTTTTCCCGGCGTTTAAAACCCATTGGGAGGGATGTTTTGTTGTTTCCCCGGTTTTCCGGTTCCAATCTTCGGCGAAATAACCTTTGTCTGGACTGTCGGTGCGCCTTAAACCGCGGCTTGTGGCGTGGTTTCTCGTGACTACTCTGGTTTCTTCCAGCGTCTTTTTCGTACGTTTAGTTATTCAGGCAACCGCAAGCGGCTCGCGTTCACATGCAACCGTTGCAAGGCCATGAAGGGCTTCCTGGTCTCCCTTTTCTTCAGCTGCCCTGGTCTGCCATCTGGAAGCTTGTCACGCGTCTCTTCCGACTGGGCCAGGCGCTTGTGTCAGGCCGGAGCAATAGCCGAGTGAACCGGAGTGAAACAAGAGTCGCGGGAGTGAAGACAACAAGGAACCGATA